GAGACCAACTTCATTCTTCTCTGTGTGCAACTCTAGTTCTCCCAGCACCGTTTGTTGAAAAGACTGTCCTTTCCCTATCGATGGTCTTTGCTGCCTTGTCAAAAATCAACTGACCACGTATGTGAGGGTTTCTTTCTGGACTGTGTTCTGTTCCGTCAGTCTGTGTGTTTCTCCTTATACCAGTACCATATTGTCTGGTGATTATGGCTTTGTAGTAAGTTTTGAAATCAGGAACTGTGAGAATAGATGAAATTTAATACTGATCGATGTAAAGAGGCATTTGCATTTGGTTTACACATGCGCGTAGGAAGCAGATGGAAAGGCACTGGCCAGCTGCCGCTCTGTGGAAACGTTCTGGAATGTTTATTGGTGAGAAGCTAAGTATGAGCCACTGCTTACGTGTGCTGCTTATTTATTCTCAAGCTGCTCTTTCAGAGGGAGATTCTCAGCCCTAGAGAGGGTGGGGAAACCAGTGCACAGTTTAGCTTTATTCCCTCTCCCCAGCCCCCAACTTAGAGAAGATGAAATAGAAAACTTTTCAGAATGAGTGTATGTCTCCTGCAGAGCTGCCCAGCCCACACGGACAGTTGCTGAAAGCAGCTTTCCTGAAGTTTCCGCCGCTTGACTTGTACCTGCCGCCGTGTTCTGGGTGCACGTCCGCCGGCTCCTCTTCTGTGTGAGCGGGCGATTGACTGCCTGGCACGGCCCTGGGCGGACCAACTTGGGCCCCTGTGTGTACCTTACCTGCACCTGGTAATCCCCAGAGTGACCTGCCTGTTTGGTTCCTCAGTCGGAGAGAGCGTCTGCAAGCAAACACAGTTTGATTTCTTCCTTTCCAATCTGTACCTTTTTTTTTCTTGTCTCATTGCATTAGCTCGGACTTCCGGTACAGTGTTGAAAAGCGGTGGTGAGAGAGGACATCCTTGTATTACTCCTGATCTTAAGCAATCTTCAGGCATCTCGCTTGTTAATGAGGATGTTAGCTGTAGGTATTTTTACATGTTCTGTATCAATTTGAGGAAGTTTCTGTTCCTCGTTTGATGAGAGTTTTTGTCATGAATGGGTGTTGGATGTTGTCAGATGCTTTTTCTGAGTCTGTTGATCTGATATGATTTTTCTTCTTTAGAGTGTTGATGTGTGATGGATTACATTAATTTATTTCTGAATTTTGAATCAGCCTTGCCTACCTGGGATAAATGCAACTTGGCCATCATGTATATTTATTATCTTTATATAATTTATATAAATATCTTTATGCCTTGTTGGATTTGATTTGCTAATATTTTGTTGAGGATTTTTACATTTATGTTTATGAGAAATATTGATCTGTAGTTTTTCCTTTCTTGTAGTATCTTTGATTTTGATACTAGGGTCATGCTACCTCATAGAATGGGTTAGGATATTTTCTGTTTTTATTTTCTGGAAGAGATTATAGACACTTGGTATCATTTCTTCCTTTAGTGTGTGGTAGAATTTACCCGTGAACCTGTCTAGGCCTGGTGCTTTCTGTTTTAGAAGGTTATTAATTCAATTTCTTTAATAGATCATATACCTACTCAGATTATCCATTTTTTTATGTGTGTTTTGATAGTTGTGTCTTTCTTTTTCTTTCTGATTTTATACTCATGAAAGCAACCTTCTGATAATGGATTTTTAAAAAAAATTTATCTTTTCAGGCTCCCCGTTGAGCAGGGAGCCCAACGTGGGGCTCGATCCCAGGACCCTGGGATCATGACCCAAGCTGAAGGCAGACGTCCAACTGACTGAGCCACCCAGGCGCCCCTAAAGATTTTATTTATTTATTTGGCAGAGAGAGCAAGAGAGCACAAACAGGAGGAACAGTAGAGGGAGAGGGAGAAGCAGGCTCCCCGCCGAGCAGGGAGTCCGATGAGGGGCTCGATCCCAGGACCCTGGGACCATGACCTGAGCCGAAGGCAGACGCTCAACCATCTGAGCCACCCAGGCGCCCCTATTCTTGTGTCTTTCAAAGAATTCCACTGTGATTTGAGAACACACTGTGTATGGTTTCTAGTCTTTTAAATTTGTTAAGGTGTGTTTTATGGCCCAGAATGTGCAGTTTCTTGGTGAATGTTCATGTGAGCTTAAGAAGAATGTCTATTCTGCAGCTATTGGATGAAGTAGTCTATAGATATCAATTATATCCTGTTGGTTGAGGGTGTTGAGTTCACCTGTGTCCTCACTGATTTTCTGCCTGCTGGGTTTGTCCATTTCTGATAGAGAGGGGTGTCTTGAAGTCTCCAGTCGCAATTGTGGATTCATTTATTTCTCCTTGCAGTTTTATCAGTCTTTGCCTTGTGTATTTTGATGCTCTGTTGTTTGGTACATACACGTGAAGGACTGTCACATCTTCTCCGAGAACTCTTTTCATTAAGTAAGGTCCCTCTTTAAAGTGGGTTTCCTGTGGGCAACATGTAGTTGGGTCTTGAATTAAAAAAAAATTTTTTTTAGGGGCACCTAGCTGGCTCAGTTGGTAGAATGTATGACTCTTGATCTCAGGATCATGAGTTTGAGCCCCATGTGAGGTGTAGAGATGACTTAGATAAAACTTAAAAAAATGTTTTTAAATTAAAAAAATTAAAAAACATTTTTGGTAAGCTCTGTGCCCAACATGGGGCTTGAACTCACAACCCTGAGATCAAGAGTGTGTGTGCATGCTCTCTCGCTCTCAAATAAATAAATATAAATAAATCTTAAAATCCCTCAAATTTCGTTTGCGGGAGAAAGTTTTTATTTCTCCTTTGCTTGAAGGACTGGTTCACTGGATACAGAATTGCAGGTTGGTGGGTTTCTATCAATGCTTGAGTGTTTCATTCCTCTCGTGCTTACATTGTTTCTGAAGAAAAGTCCAATATCATTCTTTTTCTTTTTAAAGTATTTTTATTTATTTTTGTGAGAGAGAAAGAGAACGAGCGGGGGTGGGGAGGGGCAGAGAGAGAAGCAGACTCCCCGCTGAGCAGGGAGCCCGATGCAGGACTCCATCTCAGGACTCTGGGATCATGATCTGAGCCGAAGGCAGACGCTTAACTGACTGAGCCACCAGGCATCCTCATTCTTTCTTTCTTTTTTTTTTTTTTAAGATTTATTTATTTACTTTTAGAGAGAGAGCGAGAGAGGGAGCTTGGGAGAGCC